TGTGGCTGCTGGAATAAATGACCACAAACTCTGTGGCTTAGAGCAACAGAAATTCATTATCTCATAGTTCTGGTGTCCAGCAGTCGAAATCAAGTTGTCAGAACGCCCATGTTCCCTCCAAAGACTCTGGTGGCTTCAGATATCCTTGGCTTACGGCAGCATCCCTCCAATCTCTGCCTGTATCTTTACATGCCCTTCTCTCTGTGTGTCTCTCCTTTCTGTGTCCCTTATAAGAACACTTGTCATTAGATTTAGGTGCCACCCAGATAATACAGAATGATCTCATCTTGAGACCCTTAACTTAAATCTGTAAAGACCCTTTCCAAATAAAGTTATATTTACAAGTTTCAGGGGTTAGGACTTGGATATACTTTATTGGAAGACACCATTCAATCCACTACACTGAGTAATCTTAGAAATGTCACAGCACCTCTGAGCCTCAGTTCTCACATCTAAAAGACAGGGATAGCAATCCCTATGTGACAAGGTTATTGCTAAAACTAAAGTGAAAGCATTTGTCACATAGTAGATGCTCCATAAATGCACATTTTAAATTATGCAGATTCTATCCAGTACGTGTGGCTCAGTGGTGAGCATTGATCCATATGGTTGCCAGTTTGATTCCTGGGCAGGGCACATGCCCCTATTGTGGGCCAAATCCCCTGTGAGGGGCATGCAGGAGGTGGCCAATCGATGTTCTCTCTCATTGATGTCTCTCTCTCTCTCTCTCTCTCTCACTTCCTTTCTCTCCAAAATCAATAAAGGGGGGGGGGGGCAGAAAATTATGCAGATTCCAACCCTGTGAAACTGAGTGCTCTCAGTTACAAGGTCCTTGGCCAGGCATACCTCTGTCCCCCTGCAGTCTAGGGTGTTTCCTGTTCCCTGCCCTGATCTTCCTTCTCTGCTTCTCTGACCTGTGTTTCTCCTAAAACTCTGAGCACAGTAGTATCCATAGAAGTGTAGAAAGCACTTATTGCATATTTTAATTCAATCATATCCTCAGGCCAGGCTGGTTTTTCCTGAGTCCCCAGCACCATGGAAGAATGAGCAGTTAACATCTAGTCCCTCCCCTGCCCATAAGGAAGAGCTGACAAATCAGAAGACCTGGATCTTAGAACTGGCTCTATCTCCAGCTAGTTGTGTGACCTTAGCCAAAAGTTTTAGCCTCTCTGAGCCCCAGATTCTTCATCTGAAAATGAAGTTGATGATGCCTTTCTTGTCAGCCTAGCCCACCTCATGCAAAGATCGGCTGGGACAATGTGGGTGACAGAAACTGTAGCCTGTAAAGTATGCCATAAGTGTAGGGTCTTCTTTTTTAGTTAATCCTCACCTGAGAATATTTTTTCCATTGATTTTTGGAAAGAGTGGAAGGGACGGGGGATGAGGAGAGAGAGAGAAAGAAACATCGACGTGAGAGAGACACATGGATTGGTTGCCTCCCACACATGCCCCAACCAAGGCTGGAGATTGAACCTGCAACCCAGGTACGTGCCCTTGACCAAGAATCAAACCTGAGACCCTTTGGTGCACAGGCCGACTTTAACCACTGAGCCACACCAGCCAGGGCCATAAGTGTAGGATCTTAATTATTGTTCTCAGCTCACACCAAGGCACATGGTCCCTGACTCCAGGTACCTGCTCCCATAGCAAAAGCCCAGCCCAGTCCCCCTTCTTTCTCAGGGTAAAGTCTGAGGCCACTCCCTCTCCTGGCAAGGGCTCGCTCAGAAGTCTAACAGCTGCCCTCGCAATCAGCCAGATCCTGAGCAGAGATTGTGTCAATGGAGGCTCATGGCCAAGGCTGTTGCGTCCAGCACCCAGGCCCGCCTCCCGGTTCAGGGACTCACTGGTACTGTCGGATGGGAGGAGAGAGGCCTATTGTGCTGCACTGGGAGGGGCGTGGCAGGGCCTCTGGCTCCAAAGCACAGGGAGTCGCTGGGGGGCTGGAGCACTTTAAGGCCAGCTGGACTGGCTTCAAATCTCCATTCATTTACCTTCTAGCCACATAAACCCGCTGATCCTCCATCTCATCTGCAAATAGGGGTGACGGTCCTTGCATGGCAGGTGAGAACCGCAGGTAACAACTTTGAAGCAGGTGTGTGGTACCTGGTAACCACCCTGATGAAAAAGACCGAAGAGAGGAAACTAACATTTGTTAAGCACCTCATTTTTGCTGGATGCGGGGTGTATGCTTTTTTCGTCTAGTTTGTACAACTCTGTGCAGAATTAAATGGGGAAAGCAGGGTTCGACATGTAAAGTGACTAGTAAGAGAGGCAAAGTCTGTGTTCGACTCCTCGCTGGTTGAGCCCTAGAGCTGGAGCGAGCCCACTGCTCCCAGCGGCTCCCTGCCCGTCCCCAGCCAGCACAGACCCTGATCTACAGAGGGAAAACACCTCCCTAAGTAAGAAAGGGGTTCTAACTCAGTCTCAGGGCCCTTGTGTGAGTCTGCTGGCAGGGAAGCTGTTGGCTCATGCCGCCCTCTGTTGGCACAGTGACCATTGAGGGTGGCTGTATCAGCCAGGGCTCTCCAGAGAAACGGAACCAACGGGATATGTATAGACACAGAGAAAGAGATCTATCATGAGGACTGGCTCACGCAGTTATGGGGGCGGAGAAGGCCCACGGTCAGCCGTCTGTAAGCTGGAGGCCCAGGAAAGCTGCTCGTGCAATTCAGTCCAGTCAGAAGGTCTGAGAACCAGGAGCTCCCACATCCGTCCGTCCTAGGGCAAGAGAACATGCAGGTCCCAGCTCAATCAAAGAAAGCACATGCACCCCTCCTCCACCTGCTGTTATTCAGGCCCTCAGGGCATTGCATGAGGCCCACCTTCACTGATGAGAGGATCTTCACTCAGTCTACCGACTCAAATGCTAGTTTCTTTCAGAAACATCCTCACAAACATACCCAGAAAAAATGTTTACCAGCTCTGTGGGCATTCCTTAGCGCAGTCAAGTTGACACAACAGTTAACCATCACAGTAGCCAAGGAACCAGTGGCCCCCATGATGGCCACTCACTATCACCTACTGTCCCAGATGCTCCCCAGTCTGCTCCCTCCCTGCCTCTCCAGCTTCACCGCCCCTCCTCCTTCACACTTTCTGGTCCAGCATCAGGCTGCTTGAGATCACTCACCCCTGCCTCCGTATGTGCTGTTTCTTGGCAGAATGCCCCCTTGTCACCTCCTGACCAATTCTGACTTCCCATTTAAGACTCTGTTGTGTGCTGCTAACACCAGGGGGCCCTACCTGGCTCCCCAGGCCTCACACAGAGTATAGAGTCCCGGCTCTGTGCTCCCACAATAATTCCTCGCACCGGCTACCGTCTGCACTAACTACATTTTTATGCCATTATTCCTTAATGGTGTTTGTTTTTTTCATAGTCTGAGGCTATCTTAAGTGGGGTCAAAGAGTGCTTAGGACAGTGGTTGGGGGCTGGGAGGTGAGCGGGCACCCGGAGAGGTATTTTGACATCTCTGTCCAATTCCCCCTCGCTCGTATCAGAATGAGTCCTCTGGGTGGGTGTAAGGAGAAATTTACAACAGGTATTTTGTGGACACCTCCCAGGTAATTCTGTTTCAGGATTTATCTCTCCCCCTAACCCTTGTTTGGGGCCAGCTCAGCGAGCTTTGCAGGGGGCAGACGAATACCCCTTGATCCATACAGTTTGGGGAAACCCATGTCTGTATACTCAGGGGGCTTGAGACTGGGAAACCAATTATGAAATCATCAGTGCCTTGAAACTGAACTTGATTGGGGTGGTGTGGGAGAGGTGGCTGGTGTGTGGGAGAGGCAGCTGGTGTGGGAGAGGTGACTGGTGTGGGAGAGGTGGCTGGTGTGGGAGAGGTGGCTGGTGTGGGAGAGGTGGTTGGTGTGGGAGAGGTGGTTGGTGTGGGAGAGCTGGCTGGTGTGGGAGAGCTGGCTGGTGTGGGAGAGGTGGCTGGTGTGTGGGAGAGGTGGCTGGTGTGGGAGAGGTGGTTGGTGCGTGGGAGAGGTGGCTGGTGTGGGAGAGGTGGCTGGTGTGTGGGAGAGGTGGCTGGTGTGGGAGAGGTGGCTGGTGTGGGAGAGGTGGTTGGTGTGTGGGAGAGGTGGTTGGTGTGGGGGAGGTGGTTGGTGTGGGAGAGGTGGCTGGTGTGGGAGAGGTGGTTGGTGTGTGGGAGAGGTGGCTGGTGTCGGAGAGGTGGCTGGTGTGTGGGAGAGGTGGCTGGTGTGGGAGAGGTGGCTGGTGTGGGAGAGGTGGCTGGTGTGTGGGAGAGGTGGTTGGTGTGGGAGAGGTGGTTGGAGCGTGGGAGAGGTGGCTGGTGTGGGAGAGGTGGCTGGTGTGTGGGAGAGGTGGCTGGTGTGGGAGAGGTGGTTGGTGTGTGGGAGAGGTGATTGGTGTGGGGGAGGTGGTTGGTGTGGGAGAGGTGGCTGGTGTGGGAGAGGTGGCTGGTGTGGGAGAGGTGGTTGGTGTGGGAGAGGTGGTTGGTGTGGGAGAGGTGGTTGGTGTGGGAGAGGTGGCTGGTGTGGGAGAGGTGGCTGGTGTGTGAGTGGTGGCTGGTGTGTGGGAGAGGTGGCTGGTGTGTGGGAGAGGTGGCTGGTGTGTGAGTGGTGGCTGGTGTGTGGGAGAGGTGGCTGGTGTGTGGGAGAGGTGGCTGGTGTGGGAGAGGTGGCTGGTGTGGGAGAGGTGGTGTGTGGGAGAGGTGGCTGGTGTGGGAGAGGTGGTGTGTGGGAGAGGTGGCTGGTGTAGGAGAGGTGGCTGGTGTGGGGGAGGCAGCTGGTGTGGGGGGGAGGCAGCTGGTGTGGGAGAGGTGGTTGGTGTGGGAGAGGTGGTGTGTGGGAGAGGTGGTTGGTGTGGGAGAGGTGGTTGGTGTGGAAGAGGTGGCTGGTGTGGGGGAGGCGGCTGGTGTGGGAGAGGGAGAGTTGGTGTGAAGAGGGCCTGGAGATGGGAGCAGCAAGTCACCTTCTGGGGTTCCTCCCCTTTCTTATGTAAATAACCTGTCAATAGTAAAATGCTTTCTTTTTCTTAGATTTGTAACAGTGTCCTGAGCCGGTGACAGACCTACTCTGTGACTTTCAGTCGGATTCAGCTCTCACATTCCAGAAAACATGACCCTCGCTGGTAGGTGCAACACTTTCTGTGGTGGGAGCACCGCAGCACAGGGTATTTCTGTACCTGCATGTATGTGCTTACATATGCACCGAAAAAGATAAAACAATTGCACCTGGCCGGGTAGCTCAGCTGGTGAGAGTGTCATCCAGATATGCCAAGGTTGCAGGTTTGATCCCCGGTCAGGGCACATACAGGACGCAAACAGTGAATGCATAAGTAAGTGGAACAACAAATTGATCTTTGGCTCTCTCTCAAATCAACATATTAAAAAACAAATACACCCAGGGTTAAAAGAGGTTATCTCTAGACGGTGGGTGGAATCACAGCTGAGCTCTTCATTTTGCTCTTCTGCGTGTGTGCTTTAAAAAGTTTTTACAAAGCACATAATGTTTTTGCAGTCAATTATGTTTTCAATTTGTAAACAGGAATGAGGAGGAGAGTGCCCGGGCATCGCGCTGGGCGATAGCTGAGAGAGCCTGGGCTTAAAACAGGCCCACGGGGCCCATGGCAGTGGGCCCGGAGGGCTGGGGGCGGGGACATGCCAGGCCAGGGCTCTGATCTGTGACCTTCTGGTTTTCAAATCCTCCCCAGACACAGGAAGTCTAGACAGTGGTGGGGTACCACTCTAGCTCTCATGGACACCAGCCCCTCTGGCTGTGGTCACTGCACTGGGAAGCCTCGCAGCCTGACCTCGCCACCCAGTGAGGGCCAAGAGCAGGTGGGAGGGGTGAGCTTCTTACCTATTCCTTTATCGCCAGTGTTTCCAGGAAAACACTGCCCGGAACAAAAGAAATGGAGAATCCCGGGCAAGTGTGGGGAGAGAGCGAGCTTGGCGCAGGGCGGCTGGCTGGGTGGGGAAGACACTGTGCTCGGGATCTTTCCTCGGGAGCATTTTGTATTAGGCACTAGGAGGGAGACGACGTGCTAGGGAGAAGATGGGTCATCTGCGTCACCCTAGTGCTCTGGAAGGCTCGGCTTCTACAGGTGGACAGACTCGGGTCCGAATCACACACAGGAATCCTGAACAGGGCCTCTTGGGGCAAAGGGGGCTACATTCCCAGCCGAAGGGTGGGTCTGGCTGCTTCTGCAGAGCCCGGGGACCCCGGCTGCCTGGGCACCCAGACTCAGAGATGCTGGCTCTGAGACCAGGGGAGGCTGACCATCTTCCCCTGCCCGGTGCCTCCACAGCCTACAAAGAGAAGATGAAGGAGCTCCCGCTGGTGTCACTGTTCTGCTCCTGTTTCCTGGCCGACCCCCTGAACAAGTCATCCTATAAATATGAAGGTAAGTGAGGGCTGCATTTGGGACAGTAACAGGTGGAGGGTTTCTGCGGCCTGTATGCACAAGTATGTCACCCCACCCCCATTTCCTGACCCTCTCCTCCCCACGTTACCTTCGCTTTCCCAGAGCCAGTAAAATCACCACAGCTGATTCCGAGGGTCCAAGCACCACGTGAAGGCAGGGTGGGGCTGGGCCCGGGGAGGAGACGGAGGTGAAGGTCTGAATCAGACTGTGCAGAGCGCACTTGATCTTAGCTCTTGTTCATTCACTTAAATGACGCTGTGGAGGAAGCAGAGGTTGTGCCCTCGGGGACACCTACACAGGTGTAAATCACTGGGCTCCATGGTTACCAAGTCCCCTGTGGGAAGGCTAGAGAATGCTCTGAGAGAGCCCAGAGGTGAAGAGGACTTTCACCTACAGCCCCCCAAGGAGGCTCTGTGCTGGCCATGCTGATGGGTCCCAGGACACCATGTCTCAGGATGCTGGCAGGGAGCACTGAATGGCCACATCCTGATCGGGGGTGGTCAAGGCACAGGTCACCTCTTAATTTTCTGGGCGTTATAAAAGAAGGGATGGGTTTGGTCTGGAAATGAGAGATGGGGGGTGTTTGGGTTACCTGAGATTGTTTTTCTCTGTTGTTTAGGCTGGTGTGGGAGACAGTGTAGGAGGAAAGATCAAAGCCAGCGGAAAGACAGTGCTGACTGGAGAGAAAGAAGAGAGCAGGGTAGGAGGGAGAGGGGGAGAGGTGTCAACAGGCTGAGCCATCAGATTGGTAGTGGGACGAGGAGTGGAGGAGCAGATGGGTGGTGGGCGGTGGGTATGTGCACCACTGTTGGCCACCACAGATGACAATTTGAGCAAGAGCCCAACTATGGGAGGAGCCTTGTGGCAGAAGCAAAAGCAATTGCTACAGCCATTATTGGAAATCACATATCCTGGGACCTTAAACGTGGAGCCTCACACCTCACTGTGGCTACCAACTCCTCCAGCCCCATCAGAGCCCATTGAATTTAGGTGCCACGTTGAGGACAGATGCAGAACCCTGGCCATTGGTTTGCCTTGGGCATCTAGGTCTCCCACACAGGTGTGCATGTGTGTATGCTTTAAGGGTGCCCATGCAGTCTTCAGGGGGTAAGCAACCCCTTTTCTTCTTTCTGCAGCAGACACGGTGGACCTGAACTGGTGTGTAATTTCTGACATGGAAGTCATCGAGCTGAACAAATGCACCTCGGGCCAGTCCTTTGAAGTCATCCTGAAGCCGCCCTCCTTTGATGGGGTGCCCGAGTTCAATGCCTCCCTACCCAGGCGGAGAGACCCATCGCTGGAGGAGATACAGAAGAAACTAGAAGCCGCTGAAGAACGAAGGAAGGTAAGTGCTGTCCCTCTGTCCCTCCATCTCAGCAGGAATGGGGAGGAGCTGGAGAAGACAGGTGGTGGTTCTGAGCTGGGGTCAGGTCATCACAACCTACAAATATTTGGGGAGCACTTCCCATATGCAGGGCAGAGAATGAGGCATCATTGAGAGAAACAAAGAAGTATACATCCCTGGTCTCTAGGAGCTTACAGTTTGGTTAGGAGGATAAAGCACTGCGTTACATACCTCCAAGAGGTGGTCTTATATGCACAATGACAAGAGTAAGACACGGACAAACACTAAAAATGTAGGAAAAGACTAGACAAGTAAAAAGGGGCTCCTTAATTGAGGACGGGGAAGAAAGTCATGGTATGGTATACTTTCACCCTCTGGTGCGCCTGCTGTATTTCCTATTGATTCTTATGGCCCAACTCTGATGCCATTTTTGTATAAGTTTTTCTTCATCTTTCAAGCAGAAAATAATCCTCACCTTCCTTGAATTCCTGTAGCACTTACGGCATATGTCACATACTAGTCTGGGTTTGATTTATTTATGTATGTTAAATCTCTACTAGACTTTTTTCTTTCCCAACTTGCTAGAATAGTGCCTGGCATATACTGCATGGTCATGTAGTATTTGTGAATGAATGAATGAATGAATGAATGAATGATGGCCACAAGGAAAAGAGAACCGAAGGTATGGTGGAAGAATCCAAGAAGTGTCCTGCTTTCTGCCAATGGGCCAGGGATCAAGTTCAGGGAGGCATGTGTTCTGGGTGTGGAGCTTTTAAGTCATGATGATAAAAATATCCCCATCATGCTCATTTCAAGGGTCTCTTTCTCCCTTTGTGCAACCCTAGTACCAGGAAGCTGAGCTCCTAAAGCACCTGGCAGAGAAACGGGAACATGAGCGGGAGGTGATCCAAAAAGCCATTGAGGAAAACAACAACTTCATCAAGATGGCGAAAGAAAAACTGGCCCAGAAGATGGAATCCAACAAGGAGAACCGAGAGGCCCACCTTGCCGCCATGTTGGAACGGCTGCAAGAGAAGGTAAGTGGTCTTGAATCAGAGAGGAGACTCCTGGGGCGCTCTCTTCCTTCCATGGCAAGTATAATGGACCTATATATCATTTCAGGGAGCAAGCAGCCTCAGGCAGGAATGGGGATATTTCTTTTAGGCTGTGTCCTTAATGAGTTCCAAAGGATGGTTTGGGAAGTCACAGGCAAGAAACACAAACTGAACTTGGAATTCCACGGGGACGTGTTACACAGCTACACCACAGAAATGTCTCATTGTCTCAGGGAGATGAGACCTCTCATTGTCTAGAGAACGCCTGCACAATGCAAGGGAGGAGGAATAGACAAGCAGCTGTATACTCCTGGCTTCATCCTTGTTGGACTAGTTCGACTCAATGAAAGATGCTGACTTGAGCCCTTGGCTCTAAACAAAGGGCATGATGATCTGAGTTGCTCATTAAGCAGGAAACATGATTCTTTCCAACTCTCTTGATATGGTCTGAGGGTGTCATGAGTCTTCCCAATATGCTGCCTTTTGTCAATAAAGCAAATGGTGTCACCTAAATATGAGAAATGTGAGAGTCTGAGGTTGGTCTCCGTATCAGCAGAATAACAGCCCATTCTGCTAAGAACATGCTGGCCTCATTTCCTGAGTCTCAAGGCTGCCCCAGTTTCTCCTGCAGCTCCTGGGAGAGCTCCAGCTCTGTGTTTTATTTCCAGGAGCCGCCTGCTGCGCGGTGACTCCCGGGACCCGATCGGTGGCCTCGTCCCATGGTGAGCAGCGTGGTCCCCGCTCCTTCCTGCCTATCCACATAGAGTCTCAGGCTCTTCACAACAGCTACTAGAAAGATCTAGTTTCTTCAGAGGGGATCTGAATGTTGCATAGGCCCTGCAGTTGGCCAGCATGTGGCATCCCCTCCACTTTTATACTCCGTCTTTCTTGGGTCAGCAAGATCTCCACCAAGTACCAGATAGGAGGGAAGTGATCTTGTCGAATTTCAGGCTTCCCCAGTTATTGAGGGATAATTAGGAGCAAACTCTTGCATGAAAAAAAAATCTGGAATTGGGATAGGATGGGACATGGGCTCTCAGGCCAAACCCAGAAGAAATTATTGAAGCTAGAGCATGATATGGTATTTGAAAAACTGTCCAACACTTCTATTTCATCATAATCCTATCTTCACAACCAGTCAATAAGTTAAGCAGGGCAAATGTTATCCTTACTTTTTTTACCATGAGGAAACCACGTCAGAAAAGGTCAAATGACTTGCCCAGGGACACACAGCCACTAAGCTGGAACTAGAACCCAATTCTTTGGCTATGCATCCAGATGTCTCTTTCAACACTTATGTCAAGGCGACCAGCCCCCCAGTTGTCCTCCTGGCCTTTTTTCAGAGAGGGAGCCATTAAAGGCCAAAGAAAGAGAGTCCAGAAACCTAGGGATCTGCCCAGTGAGCTCACGAGGACTTGGAGGTAGATTCCAAGAGATTGGGAAGACCCAGACTCTGGGGTAATAACGTTGGAGGTAAGACTCAAAGAAGCAAGATGTTGAAGTAGACATTCAAGTAGGCCTCAGTCTCTGAGATCTTGACCTCTACTCAACCTTGCCCACCAATGAAAGCAAGAGATAGGTGTATGGTTTCTGCCCTGGCTCAGGCCAGGGACACCTTCAACAATGTCTGTGTCAGTATTTGTGTGGGTCATTGACCAGTTGCACCAGACTCACCTGGTGTCAAGTTTAACACTACAGATACATGGATCATATCTTAGACCTTCTCATGCTGGCTCTCGAAGGATGGTGCCTGAGGACCTGCAGTTTAACAAGCTTTCTAGGTCATGCTCATACACGTAGCAAGGTTGAGAACCACTGCCTTAGATGCACCACTCCCCATACTTTCCTCAGGACCATGGAAAACTTTAGGGCCTCTCTAGGGACAGATTTGTAGTTTAAGGTATATCCTGGAAACCTGGACTGCCTCAGTGTGCCTGCTCCAGGCTGATACTTGATATCTGGATGCGATGATATCTGGATGGATGCCAGGGTCCTGCAGCGCCATTTGTTGAGCACCTACCATGAGCAAGCTGCCACTGGAGGAATTGGGAGATGCAAAAAGAACAAGACATATTCCCTGCCCTCAAGAAACCACCCAGTAGAGGCCCTGATGAATGAGCTGTAATGATAAGCCTTGTAGGTAAACACAACATCGCAGAATTCTAGACGTAAACAAGCTTACTTGCATGCCCCTCTCTTTAAAGACCAGAAAACCGAGGCCTGATCAGCAAAGCAAGTTGGTCGCTGTCACACAACTAATAGGCCTCTGAGGTCAAACCCCATCTTTTGGCTTGATTATGCTGTGAGACAAAGGAGGGTTCTCTTAATACACTTGTAAGAAAGCTCACCTTTTCGAGCTGGACAACACTTCCCAAAATTCTTCAGTCCGTTTATACTTCAAGAGCCCTCATCTTTTCCAAGGGGGTTAGACAACTCTCATAAGGAGACAGACAAGAAATAAAAGTAGCAGTGAGGTTGCGTGTGTGTGTGTGTGTGTGTGTGTGTGTGTGTGTGTGTGTAGCCTGCTATGAGGTCTGTCTGCTCTGCCTGTTCCTCTAGCAGCTACACTGAGTGGCTACTTGAGTCAAGTAGCATCAGTGCAAACCTCAGGATGGCCAGGTGAGGGAGGGAGAGGCTGGTGGGCACTGGGGTCATTGTGAGGTGGGTCCCCCCGGGGAGGTTGGCCCAGTCAGTGAGCTTCCTAGGGCCACATCAGCAGACTCACTCACCTGCCTCCTGCCCGCCTCACCTGCCACCTTCTGTCCCTTCTCAGGAATCCTTGAGACCCTGCTCTTCACTTCCAGTGGTGGCCATTCTTTGGGTTCTATTGTCCCTCCCTTTTTCCCCCGGGTGTAACCTGTCCTTTTCCTTCCCTTCCCTCCCAGGACAAGCACGCGGAAGAGGTGCGGAAAAACAAGGAGCTGAAGGAAGAGGCCTCCAGGTAAAGCCTAGAAGCCAAAGAAGTTTCCAGAACATCCGGACAGCTCCAGCAGCTCCGCAGTTCCCGAGGCAGCCTCGCCCACCGCTGGCTGCTCTCGCAGCACTGGGGTTTGGGGGGAGGGGGGCGGCCAGGGGTGTTCCCTCTGCTTTTGGTGTTTGTACATGTAAAGAATTGACCAGTGAAGCCATCCTATTTGTTTCTGGGGAACAATGATGGGGTGGGAGAGGGGAGAGGAGAGAAGTGGGGAGAGGGAGGTGGAGAAGGACTCATGGACATTGCAACACTGCCCACCGCAGTCTCAGGTCAAGTCCTCCGCCTTTCTTGACCGTGAGCGTCCAGGCACCATGTTGAGAGAAGTGGAAAACAGAGCAGAAGTCCGAGCGAAGGGCAGAGTCCTGGGTGGGCAGTGGCTGCAGGGTGTGGCTGGAGAAGCCCAGCGAGAGGGTGGGGGGCTGGAGGTGTTGCTTCAGCCCTGCAACAGGTGTTGAGGTCTGCGTGTGTGTGTGTTAAGCATCATCTTTTGATCATCATGACCAATGAAACATCTATTCCAAGTCTCCAGTTCTTTATTTCCTGAATCGGTCCTTTGGGTAATTGATAGAATGTTCTTGAATTTGGTTCCTGCCTCACAGGTGGCAAATGCCCCTTTTGTCCCTCAGTTTGTCCATCAGAGCGTCTGAGATGGTGAGGCGGGTTGAAATATGCCAGCCTTTGGCGTAACTGGAAAGTTTGCTGCTTCTCTTTCCCCTCCCCCTTCCTCCTCCTCCTCCCCCTTTTTGTGAGCTTTCCCTGATTGGATTCGGTGCACTGAAGTGATGAGAAAATGACTCCAATCTTGCTTTCCACGGATTGACATTCTAATACGGCCCCCAAGATGCACAGTAAGAAGGAAGTCCTCCTCACTTTGGGAGTGTGGGATTCTAGGTGGTCACAAAATGTGAGTGAGGAAATAAAACATTGTTAGTGGGAAGCAGAGGGGTGATTGCAGACCCAGCAGTCACATTATCCAGAACACCAACCATGGCAGGTAAAGGACTTCCCTCCTCCTCTCCCCTGCAAAAGGGACTGGGGAGAGGCTGCGTGGACAGTGTCCCAGGGCATTGTCCACCTTTTCCTGCACACTGTGTAGTTTTGTACAGCTTTATAAATGAATTATTTGGTATTATTTTTGTTCCCCCACCAGAGGTACTGCAACTTAGCTTCATTTTAGGATGGGATAACAGGAGGGATCAAGGATGATGATGATGATGATGATGATGATGATGGCAGCTGACACTAGATACCTGGCAATTTTTTGAAGATTAATCTTCACAACAACCCTACAACATAGGTACTATTATTCTCCCATTTTGAACACAAGGAAACTGAGGTATAGAAAGGTTAAGTAACTTGCCCAAGGCCACCCTTAGGGAGAACAAGGACTTCGGTTCTGAAAGTGTGTTCCCAGAGTGCTGAGTTCTTAGTCACTGCACTGTGCTGGGACCTGACACTTCCAAACTAGGATATGAGTCTGAGGACAACGGTCTTCAAACTATGAGTTGTACTTATTGCACTGTGAACTCAACCTAGTGGGTACCACCCAACTTTAATTTTTTTTTTTTTTTGAATGAAATAGAGTAGAAAAAATATCAAAGTGATTACAGGTAATAATGAAGGTATTGTTTTACGGAAATTATGTTTCAGTTTTATATTTATGTATGCATGCTCTAGGTCACAGCATAAAATGTATTTCTTTCTGGAGGTTGCACTCAGAACCCTTTGAAAGGCAGTGACCTAGAATGAACATGGAGACCAGAGCTACAGCCCCGGGGCTTCAGGAAGCTGCTGTGCTGGAGACAGCGAGAAACTGTGGCCACGCCATCAGGGACTGTCTGCTTCTGCGTGAAAGGAGACAGTAATGCCCTCGAGAGTCTAGTCCCACAAATTTACCCCATCCGAGTCTCCATCCTCCCAGTGGAATACCCAAGGCCAGGAGGAAGGTCCATGCCCACCATTCTCTTTCACCAAACTTTTGCACTTACCACTCATTCTCTGATAAACTGCACTGATCCAAACGTCCATCTCTGCTCATGCAGTTCCCTTGCCTGGGCTTCTCTTCCATGCCTGGTTGAATTTGTTCCATGCATTCCTTTAAACTCAGCTCAGATATTAAGTTCCCTGACTCTACCAATACTTTTGTACCTCTTATATGCGTTGATTACCATGTAATTATGTGTTCACCTCTCTCTCTAATCTATTAGATTTGAATTTCTCTACAAACAGGAACACGTTTTATTCATCTTTGTGTCCCAGGCTGTGGCTGCTCCAGAATTTCTGCATAGGATGGAATTAGGGGCAGCCATGTGGTTGAAAGAAAGTCCAGCATACTTGTCTCAAAGCTTCATTTTTATAGCTCTTTTGTGACACACGGCATATAAGACCCAGAAAGCACCATCGATTGCATATATCAAAGAACGAAGGTGGCTGATTCAGATTATCCACAGGCTGAAACCCACCACCAAGACACCCCCTGGTCCCACTCATCCCCACTGCCTGACACTGAAAGCTGAAAACTCCAATTGTGTGCTCAGCATGGGGCCCCAAACTAAGAGGCAGTTCCTACATCGAAAGGGTTTACACGCCAGTTGGGAAACACATGGAAATGAAATGACTAAGGAAATGGTTCCTAAATTTTCCGTTTCTATCAAAATCCTTCTGAGAGTTGTTAAAATGCGCATTTCCTTCTTTGGGGTATTTGTAAATGAAAATAATTGACCAGACTTGCTGAAATATTATCTTTTGAGGATGTTCCTTGGAATCTACTTTTTAACAAGCTTTTCTCCAGGTCTTTAGGGGCCAATTGTGACTACAGTTTGAGGTGCTCTGTACAATTAAGAACTAAAGTAGCCCTGGCTGGTTTGGCTGAGCGGTTAGAGCGTCGGCCCAAGCACCAAAGAATCGTGGGTTCGATTCTGGTCAAGGGCACATACCTCGGTTGAGGTTCTTCCCCAGCCCTGGTCGGGGTCGTCAACCAGTCGATGTGTCCCTCTCACTCTCCCTCCCCCCTCTATCTGAAGATAAATAGAAAAATATCCTCGGATGAGGATTAAAAAAAGAACTAAACCAGAGGCAGTATCTCCAAGGCAAGAGGAAGGGTAGTCATTGGAGAAGCCTTCATGGAGTGGGCAGCAGTTGCCCTGAGCCTTTAAGAATGAGCAGGCTTTGGCCCTGGCCGGTTTGGCTCAGCCGTTGGAGCGTCGACCTGCGGTCCGGAGAGACCCGGGTTCGGTTCCCGCTAAGGGCACGTACCTCGGTTGCAGTTTGTCCCCGGCCCTGGTTGGTCGTGCGGGTGGCAGCCACTCGATGTGTCCCTTTCACATCGATGTTTCTTTCTCTCTCTCTTCCTCTCTCTCCCTCCCACTCTATCTGTACAAAAAAAAAGAATGAGCAGGCTTTGAACAGAAGAAGAGGCAGGAGCAAGAGGGTGGGCTGGAGGTGGGTGGGGAGTCAAGAGCATTAGGCAGCAGCTGCAGCCACAGAAGTGAATGAATTCATCATCCAGGAAGAGCATACGAAGAACAGGGCTCCTTGGAATTCTCTTGATGATGTGGTAAGAGGAGGAATCGGGGCCAGGGAAGGGCAGAGTGAAAGAGAGGCATGTTTTAAATCCTAAGATCCCAGACTTGTGGTTTTCAACTGGGCAGTATCACCCCCATAAGGCATTTTGGAAATGCACGGCAGCAATTTTGGTTCACAGAAGGGTCAGGCTCAGCTGGTTTATATCATGGAAAAGTGAAATAATACAACAAGGCACAAAAGACTAGTGACACAAAAGGAAGTATACTATTGTAAGAGTCTTACACATAGGTGAAGTGGTATGATGTTTGAAGACAGACTGAGGTAAGTTGAGGCTATAACTGTAAGCCTGAGGGCAACACCTAAAACAGCAACACCAACAAGGAAGATGATAACCACAAAAACAAAGAGGTGTTGTTGATAAGCCAAGACTGGAGATAGTGGAATATATATATTTTTAAATCCAACCCGGAATAAGACAGGAGAAAAGAAACAAAGAACAAAGGAGACAAATGTAAAGCAAATAACAACATGGTATAATTACATCTAACCATATTGATAATTTTCTTTGCTGTTTTATTGAGATAAAATTCCATAAAAGTTCAAGATGTACAGCATACTACTTGACTTACATATACACTGTGAAATGATTACCAAAATAAGTTTAACTAATATCCACCAACTTATATAAATACAAAAAAAAAAAAAAGATTTTTTCCTTGTGATGAGAACTTTAGGATTTACATGCTTAACAATTTTTTATTCTATATTGGTAATTACATTAAATTTAAATGGTCTAAACTTTCCAATTAAAAGGCAGAGACTGTCACATTGAACAAAAATGCAAAACCCCATTATTTGCTTGATACAAGTAACCATTTTATTTTTTTAAATATGTTTTTATTGATTTTTTTTTGAGAAACACAAACATTGATGTGAGAGAAACATCAATCAGCTGCCGCCTACATGCCCCCCACTGGGGATTGAGCCAGCAACCCAGGCATGTGCCCTGTCTGGGAATGGAACTGGGACCTCTCAGTCCATGTGACAACACTCAGTCCACTGAGCCACACTGGCCAGGCACAAGTAACCCATTTTAAATGTAAATACAATGATAGGTTAAAAGTAAACAAATGAATAAAGATATAACATATAAGCACTAATCAAAAGAATGCAGAGTATCGCATTCATCTCAGACAACATAGATTTTAGAACAAGGATTATTATCAGGCATTAAGGGGAACAATATATAATGATAAAGGAGTCAATTTATCAAAAGAAAATAAGAATTTGCCCTGGCCAGTTTGCTCAGTGGTTAGAGCCTTGGCCCACAGACCAAAGAGTTGCGAGTTTGATTCTGGTCAAGAGCACATACCTCTATTGCGGTTCATCCCCAGCCCTGGTCAGGGTCGTGTGGAAGGCAGCTGGTTGGTGTATCCCTCTCACATCAATGTTTCTCTCTCTCTCCCACTCTCTCCCTCCCTCCTACTCTATCTGAAGATAAATAGAAGAATATGCTCCAGTGAGGATTATAAAAAGAAGAAAAAGAAAACAAGAATTATAAATATATGCGCTATCTAATAACAGAGCTTAAAATACATATGGCAAAATGATAGAACTGAAAGGAGAAATAGCTGACCAAATAGAACTTGATATTCAACAACAGCAAAATATATATTCTTTTTCAAGTGCACCTGGAGTTAATTAAGATGGACTATATTCATGGCCATAAAACAAGTGTCAAAAAATTTAAGAGGATGGAAATCATACAAAACAAGTTCTCTGACCATAATGGAATTAAACTAGAAATTAGTAACAGAAAGATATCTAGAAAATCCCCAATTATTTGCGAATTAAACCACACAATCTAAATGAACCCATTGGTGAAAGCATAAATCACAAGGAAAATTTGAAATATTTTAATTGAATTCAAACAAAAATACAATATATCAAAAATTGTAGGGTGTAGCTACAGAAATACTTAGAGAGAAAAATGTAT